AGCTTTGGGCTCTCTCTTCCCCTCTCTCTTTGTGCTCATCTCTTCCTGGCTGTTTGGGACCACTGCCTGATTCTTCAACTGACTTCCACTCCTAGACAGTCCTCCTCTTCTTGGCTCCCTAGAGGACCTTCTGGAACCTCAGGACCGTGTCCCAATTCTCAGATCAAAATTCCTTGCACAGCCACTTGAACTATTTGGGCATCAGAGACAGCTAGAAAGTCCCCAGCCCGGTGATCCTTAAATGTGATAGTGCATCAGAATCACATGAAGAACCAAAGAATCCATCCAGGTCCTGAACTGATGCCTCACTGAGTCAGAGGCTCCAGGGATGGGCCGGGAGTCTGGATGTCTAATAGTCTTCCCAGGCAAGTCTGAAGTACAGCCAGGTTTGGGAGCCGCTGTCTTGGCTAGAGCTTCTCCAACTGCCCACTTCCTAACCACGGAAGAGAACCAGCTGGGAGGCCCTGGGAGGAGTCCCGGTCCACACATCAACTGCCCACTAAAAGCTGAAATGCCTTTGACGTCCCGTTTTTCGTCTTAAAATTCGTTTGCATTCTGATGTCTTCAAGTGTCAATCCTGCCCTCTCTGACTGACTGCTTGTTTTGGTTTGATCCCCGTGTTGATATTACTGGCAATGACAAACCCAAATTTCCTATCGCTCATCACATGTGAACATCTCCACTCTCCAGATTTCCATGTAAAGATACATATGGTGCCAGGCACTTTGAAGCTCTCAGACCCTTGCAACGACATGCATAGTAGATATTTTTATAACCATTTTATAGATGAGGAAACTGCAGCTTCGGTTTGGGATGAGAAATGACACAGCTAGTAAATGACTGAGTGGCAATTCTTTTAAATGTTTTTATTGTGATATAATATCCAAACATAAAATTTACCATTTTATCCATTTTTAATTGTAAAATTGTACATTCATTCACACGTTGTGTAATTATCACCACTATCCATTCCCAAGACTTTTTCGTCATCCCAAACCGAAACTCTGTACCCATCAAACAACAACTCTCTATCCTTCCCTCCCCGCAGGCCCTAGTGACCACTGTTTTGCCTTTTGTTTCTATGAATTGGCCTCTTCTACCTCACATAAGTGGGATCATACAGTATTTGTTTTTTGTGTTGGGTTTACTTCACTTAGCGTGATGTCATCGAGATTCGTCCATATTGTAGCATGTCAGACAGAGCTGCGATTTGCACCCAGTTCTCACAGATTCATAGATCCGTGCCTTTTCCACTTTCCATTTTGCCTCTGAGTATTGCAGGGCTGGGAGGTGGAAGAAGAAACAACCATATTTTTTTTGGTTCACAGAGCATAGACATGAGATCATCAGTGGAAGTTTTCAGAGAGGCAAATTCCAACCTCAGAGTCTGAAAGAACTTCTTGTTATTAGAGCCGACTCAGAATAAAATGGGGCCATGTCGCTAGGTAGTGAGTTACCTGTCACCAGAGGTGACCAAACACAGGCTGGACAACCAGGTGCCAAAGAAGCTGATTTCTCCTGGCCCCTAGGATTTTGGTTGGGAGATGGCAGGCTTTGGAATAGAAATAACTTTTCCATGGCTATTCCTGAGATTATGCCAGAATCACCTGGAAAGCTTTTTAAAACAAGGATCCCTGGGTGTCCCTGCAGAGGTTCTGATTCATCAGGTCTGGAGAGGACTTGGGGTACGTTTTGGAAGAGCCTGTGAAGATCTGGGATACATGCCAGGGTTAAGAGCTGCGGGACTAGATGAAGCTAACCCCACCCCAACACTAAATCTCTTTGATTCTGTTCCAACTCATTTATCAAAGGGACAAGGTGTGCACTGAAACGGGCTCTAAAGACTGTTAAAAGTCTCTGAGAAACAGAGGTCAGTGGTAGGTAGTTATGTCTTGGTAATGATTCAAGAACTGAAGAGAAACATTAGTACGTAAGTGCCCCAAACGGTTAACATCATGAAACGTTGCCAGAATCGGGGAAATAGACGTAAAAGTCATTTCCACGGCTGCCGAAGTAACAAGAGCCAGCTCATGGTGCTCTGGCTTTGTCCTCCAGCTGAACGGCTGCCCCATCCCCATCCCTCCTTCCAGCGCTCCCTGGTCCTCACCTGTCCCCAGGATATGCATGCAGACTGGGAGTACAAGAGGAGAGACATAGCAATGAGAAGTAAGCTAGAGCAAGCTGGTCCCTGTCTAGATATAATTAGCATGTGACTGCCAGGGGACCTTGTTAAAATGCAGATTCCCCTTCAGTGCTGGGCTTGACTGAGGGCCTGGAGAGTCTACATATCTAATAAGCCCCCAGGTGATTACTCATACCTACAGCTGCTGCTGGGATCCCCGCTCAGAGGACCACACTTTGAATAACAAGAGGGGGAGGGGGGGTCAGAGGGCAGGTTCCGGAGTCAGAATGCCTGAGACTGAATCCCAGCTGTGTGTCATAGCAGCTGCATGACCTTGGGTGAGATGCTTAACCTCTCTGAGGCTCAGTTTCTGCCTCTGAGAAAGGGAGAAATAGCACCATGTCATAGAAGTGTGAGGACTATATAAGATCATGTGTGGAAAGCATTTAGCACAGTGTGTGCTGCACAGTAGAAACCATGCACCAATAGTAATTAAACAGACCGAAGAAACGGAGCTGCTTGTGGAGCCAGAGCTGGGACGAGAGGCAGAGAACCTTCCGGACCAGAGCTGAGCTGGGCTCTGGGTGTGGCTGTCTCTTCTATCCCTGTTTTTCCTCCCTACTCCACGTGTTAGCCCAGTCCCTCAGATACTCTACCACTTGTGAGAGCTCGTGGAAACTGCTGCTTTGTCATCTGCACTTTTTATGAGGCTCGTTCGGATGGTGCTGGTCAAAACCAATATTGCTGGTAGGAGCCACCTGAAGGGTTTGAATTTGGTGCCGCTGCATCTGCTCAGTGACTGTGCTTTGATGTGCTTTAGATCAGCCATTGCTAAATTGCTATCCTATTGCTTCAGTCCCACTATAGAGCAGCCAGTAAGGAGTCCAGCCTGATGAGTGATTCAGGTAGGAACATTCTTTTCTTTCCTGGTGAGACTTCATTGACAACCCAGGTAAGACCCAGCGGGAGCTCTGATTTATCACCATCTCGTTAGCAGCTGTGGCTTACGATTGGCTGGGCACTTGCAGCGTGTGGCAAAGGATGCTTGCGGGATAGACCTTTCATAGAAAGATAGAACAGACCTGCTGGCCTGTTCTTTTTTGTCAATGTCCTGGATTCTCTGTACCCCTGTTTGTCCTATTCCTTCTGGACATTTGAGACTCGGATATGTGGTCTGCTAGTTCCTCTTTTATTTTTAACTCTCAAAGCCTGGTATAACTCTATGAGCAAGAAAAAATCCTGGTTAGGAATGCTACATTAAAAAAAAAAAAGTCTCTGATGTGACCAACCCACAGTAGCAACAATGGCTTAGAAAGCGTTGGAAGTCTCCTCTCGAGCAGTCTCATGGGGCCTCTGTTATTGTATCAGAAGGACAAAGGGATAAGTCAGCTCCACCAGATTCGGGAGTCCAAGGCCAACTCGGTTTGAGGCCAAAGTGGCCTCGAGAGAATGCACGATTCTGTATGAAAGAATTTCTCAGGTGAATTACACCTTATGCCTCATGAGCCAATGCATTTCTCACTTTTTCTTATGCGGGTCTTTCTGAAGTATACTTCACAGTTGTTATATGGAAAGCTCACCCTATTTTCAGTGGCCAGCCCACTCTTATGATATCTATTATTATAATGACAAGTTCAAGAAGTGTTGACCCTTATACGAAGTAGCCCCAGATCTTTGACTTTTTTAAAAAATGAAGCTCTATTGCTTTTTTCTGATTATAAAATGATAATCTTAAAATTTTTTATTGTTACGCACTTTTTAATAGTTTTTACTATTTCCTTCCAGACTATTTAGCTATTTGTTACTCTCTGCTCCCTTTAATATGTCTCTAGCAGCATCACTCTTGTTATCTTTGATCTAGATTTAGGCTGAGAAACCACATAATCAAGCTTAGTACAATTGTGTGCGAAGCGTACCTTCAGGATAGACAAACACTTAGCTGATCAATATCACTATTAGGATAGAACTTTCTAGTGGATTATGGAAGAAGCTTAGGCTGTGGAATCAGATAAACCCAAGTACAAATTGCCTCTCTGATTCAAACTGGTATTGGGAGCGTCCACAAATAACCTTATCATCCTCAGCTTCAGTTTCCTCAAGGTAAAATCAAAATAATAACACCTAACTTGCATGGCTGTTGTGAGGATTAAAAGAAATAGGATAGGACACACCCGCTGTGGTGTTTGGCGCATGATGGTGCCTCAGTGAATTCCGGTTCCCCCTCCCCTGCATCACTCCCAGGCATCATGATGTCGCGGAAGGAGAACGCCTCTAGGACAGTGTTTCTCAAATGTGAACTTGCATCAGAATCTCTTGGAAGGCTGGTTAACATACAGACAGCTGGGCCCCACCCTCCAAATTTCTGATGCAGTAGGAACAGGTTGGAGCCCAAGGATTTGCATTTTGCAGGTATACTGGTGATGCTGATGCTGCCAGTCTGGGGCCCCCACGTTGAAAACCTGGAGTTGGTCTAAGAGATGGGAGACCGTGGTCCATATCCTGCTTGGCTGCTCAGTTTTTGTATTTATTTGGGCTCCATTTAAATGATCTTAGCCATCATTTCCTAGCACTTAATAGGTCTTATTAGATTGTCTAAATGACCTAGAACTTAATCTTCATAAACCTTATTTTTTCCCTCTTTGAGGCAGGGTCCCTTTCTGTTCAGCTTAAGGACTTTTAGTGTCCTAAGGAACTACAGCAACTAGACGATTTTGCCCCTAAAGTTATGTACATTTCATCTTAGATACTTTACAAATAAGACATCTGTAATTTGCTCAGGAGAAACAATAATAGACTCTGTAATTGGTAGTAAATATTGGTTCTATAAAGGTAGTTCAGGAGATCAATTTCATTAACTTCCCACCTGTTTATCTTTTAGGGAAATAACGGATTGATAAAAGGATATTTCCACCTCCACACTAGAAAGCGTTTTACAGGTGAGTACATGAGTACACTCAAGTCAATGAGTATATTCTCCATTGGGTGTATGTGGGCTGTTGTCTGTGGGTTGAGGGCAGCTATCTAAACTCACATCTAAAAGTCTATGTACTCATAAATTGCAAAGCAGATACAACTCTAATTGGATATATTCTGTTTAAATGACACACTCTCTGGGGAAAAAAATCATGTTTTTCTGCTGTGAAATTGGTTTGTTGGTGTTCTGCCAAATGGAAGCCTTATCATAGTAAATACATCAACTTTATTCATTTCTATTTTCTTGAAGAAATAGTCTTATGTGACATACATATGTTCATACATTTTCTTGTTGCAGCAACACGAACTAAATAAGTCACTTTCACACATGAATGCAACTCCAAGAGTTATCGCTAACTTGTGTTCTCTATACCATTCACACATTTTCCATTCAGCTGAAGAAAGTATAGTGTTTGGGCAATGGTGAAGAATTATAGAGCAAAAAAAGAGGATCTTTTTAGTGTTCTTTCAAGTAAAGGGTGGAGGAGAAGCACAGGCTACCATCTGTTATTGCTGATATATTGAAACATCTCTTATCTATAGAAATTCATAAAAGTACAACTGGTTCTCCAGATTCATCTCCTGAATCTATATAACCAAAATGAGGCTTCAAGTCTTTTCAGCTCATCAAGTCACTATGGCAAACATTAGGGTCCATTCTGCCATCTGGTGTTTATTGAAGGAAATGTCCACTGTGAGAAGAGTTAAATGGCCAGTGTTTATCTTATGCATTACTGGTGGCTGTGAAATCGTTACAGTCTCAATGAAAGGCAATTCTATAATCTCTGCCACATTCTGAAAAAAGGCAATTTGAGAATATCAAATTTTAAATGCATACACCTTTGGTCTAGTGATTCCACTTTTATGTATTCATCTTATAGATATATTTATATGTGTCCTCACAGTAATGTATCCATAAGAATATTCCTAGTAGACTGTAGTAGTGGCTAGCTGAAAACAAGATAAATATATATCACCAGGGTACCAGTTAAATAAATTATGATATACCTACACAATGGGTGTACTACGAAGCCATTTGAGAAATAAGGCAAGTCTATATCTATAGATATGGATGATCCAAATGAATTAAGTGAAATAAACATGATTTAGAACAGTTATACTGTGCTGATATTGGTGTAAATAGAATAACAAAACAAATAAATAGCATAGAATATCTCTAGAAGGATACCTAAGAAAGTGGGTATCCTTCAGTGATTGACTTTGAGGAGAACCAGGGTGGTCAGAGCAGAGAAGGTAACTTTCCTGTCGCTATTTACATTTCGTACTGCAGGAATCATTTGTAACGTTCGTGTGTAGGTTGTGATAAAAGACCATCTCTTATCATTTACGAACATCTGAACTTCCTCTGTAGTTTTCTACACGTGAAATGTCTACACGTACGATGGAGGAGAGAGATGATGCATGTTCAAATCCCTTTTCCTCCTTCTTCACTTCTCTTTCCTTTTCTTGTCCACCTCCAACTAGGAGGGTGAATGGGGGTAGTTTGCAGTGACACAGGGCTGAGCCAGAGAGGCCAGATCGAACCAGGAGCTGATTGCACCAATGTGAACTAAAACTTTGGGGAACTTTGAGGCCCTTTCACAGCGGTGTTCTCAAAGACAGTCAGTCAGGCTTGAGAAAGTTGCCTTCTAGAGAGGTCTACATGACGATAGAAGCAGAGTGTCTTGTTTGAAAATAAAGCAAACCCACGTGTTTTCTATGAAGGTGAGCTACTCTGTCCTCTCCCTGGTGTTCACTCTGGTGGGAAAGGAAAGCACTGGAGGGCTGGGGTGCAGGACACGCTGCCCCAAAGTTTGGTACCTTGACATGTTGACTATTTTAAGCTGCATAAATTTGACAACACCTTGTGCGGAAGGACTTTGCGACCTTCCCCTAAAGCAGGTCATGTGAGAAGGTTACACCCTGAGGATAAGAGCATCCTCACCTCAAAGATAGGAAGGCCACCAGAGGAATGCGAAGGGACAGGACCGCCAAATGTCCCCCAGTTTACTACGCTCACCTTATGTCCTTTTTATGCCATCACATTGTCCCACTGCTTTCCACTCTTCAAACCTAGGATAAAAACGATCAGGCTTAACCGCTTCTGCGGGGCTTCATTTCTTTGGAAGGTCTTGCATGTCACATGAAGGTTCAATAAATTTGTATGTTTTCTCTTGCTAGTCTGTCTTTCGTTGTAGAAGCCCCAGCTGAGAAGAATAAAAAGAAAAGATAGTTTTCCTCCCCCCATCATAGCAAGCCAGTCAGTGCAAATCTCACACTGATATTTTGAGACTAAAATTTCAAGACATAATATATTTTTTTCTATTACCACTGTGCCAATCTAGTTTTGGTCATGGTCTTTTGGTCAAATAACATTAAACAAAGGCATGAGATTTTCACGTTTATCAAAAAATGAGTTTGTTAAATACCTCTCAGGGACCAACCTCCACGTGTAGAAGAAAAGAGTCGTGTGGTTTCCTCCTCCAATTTATAGCCGTGTGAAACCTTGTCTCACTGCTAGCAGAAAATATGTATTAATAATGAACTGCACTGGTTTGTGTGAAAAATAAGTTTGCAAGAGGTTAAGACACGTTGTTCAATGGCAACCTTGATCTTTTAACTCAGGCTCAGCACACGGCTTCAAGAGAAGTGACAAGCAGATAAAATTGGCCTTGGGCACCTTTTCTGTATCGGTCCCATTTCCACCCTCTCTCTGCTTGGGACAGTCACACTCGTTCTCACTCCACACTCTGACTGTTTTGTTTTAGCAGCCACCCAGGCCTGCTTACCTCCCGTTAAGGGTCTCCAAAACACTAACTTTTGAATGCTACT